ATTTTCTTCCTTTGTTGATATGAATACTCAAAAACAATTTGGTTGTCTTTTAAAAACAATATATAACTGATAATCTTGATTTTGGTAAATTTCAGATTTAGGTAAACACAAATAATTATAAAGCATCACTGGCCACAACTGTGGCACTGCACACTGTACTCATTACCTTAAAACACTTAAGTGTGAGCAAATGCTTTGACCTTAAAACACTTAAGTGTCAGCAAATGCTTTGAAATATTATATTTTGTATAGGTTTATTTCTTTTCCTTTTATTTTTTATTTTAAATTTATTTACTTATTCTAATTTGTTATATATGTAGTAGGATGCATTTCAATTCATAGTACATATATAGAACACAATTTTTCAAGTCTCTTGTTGTACACAAAGTAGATACACATACTTATTCTATAAACTCCAAAAACTCTAAAAAAATCATCTTCTGTAGAAAGAAAATATATAGTATAAGTATTCCACGCAAATGAACATTATTATTTGGCAAAAAGAAATAAAACAGTGACACATGCTAAAACATGGATGAACCTATAAATACTATGCTAAGAGAAGCCAGCATAAAAGACCACCTATTATACTATTTCATTTATATGGAAGAATCAGAATAAGCAAATATGTAGAGACAGAAAATAGATTAGTGATTGCCTAGGGTTGTGGCAGGAGTCCTTCTCCCATTAGTAACTGCTAATGGGAGGATTTCTTTGGGGAGGAGATTGGTATGTGCTAAAATTGGGAAAATGGCTACCTAAATCTGGGAATATGCCACAAATCATTTAACTGCAAACTGTTAGTGGGTGAATTATACAGTATGTGAAATATATCTCAATAAATCTCTTTTTTAAAAATACATATCTGCTGGATACACTGTAATCCAATAAATAACTTGGGAGGCTGATGAAAGAGGATTAAAAGTTCAAAGGATTAAAAGTTGCCTGGGTAACTTGGCAAGACTCTGTTATAAAACAAATAAAATAAAATGGTCTGGGGATATAGCTCAGTGGTAGAGTGCCCTTGGGTTTATATACTGGGCATGCACGTGTGCATGAGCACACACACACACACACACAAAAAAAAAAAAAAAAAAAAACCAAATCAACAAACAACACAATAAAAAATACATGATTTCTAAGAGTTTCTGAGTCATAATTTTTGGACTCAGAGCTCTATATTATATATTTTGACAAGTTCTAAAGGTTACTTCATGTAGCCAATTTAGCACCAGTATATTTGTGAATCACAGATACAATATTTAACCAAATAATTAAAAAGTATGAATTTGAATAATACAGCAATTTGGTATAAATGACTAGATTTTATACTAGTATGGGACTAGAAGAAAAGGCTTACCTAAGATACCTAAGAGAATCTTGGGTAAGTTACATGAAGGTAGACATTTTCATCTTTTTTACATATAAAACATTCAAGAAATCTGAAAATAAAAATGCCACACTGTTCCTCTGAGATCATGTAGGTATTTTCAGAACACTATTTATACACTGAAGAAAAAATATAATAACATAAAACATCTACACTTAAAAATCAGAACCAAACCCAATCAACAAATGGGCCAAGGACCTGAACAGACACTTCTCAGAGGAGGACATACAATCAATCAACAAGTACATGAAAAAATGCTCACCATCTCTAGCAGTCAGAGAAATGCAAATCAAAACCACCCTAAGATACCATCTCACTCCAGTTAGATTGGCAGCCATTATGAAGTCAAACAACAAGTGCTGGCGAGGATGTGGGGAAAAGGGTACACTTGTACATTGCTGGTGGGACTGCAAATTGGTGCAGCCAATTTGGAAAGCAGTATGGAGATTTCTTGGAAAGCTGGGAATGGAGCCACCATTTGACCCAGCTATTCCCCTTCTCGGTCTATTCCCTAAAGACCTAAAAAGAGCATGCTACAGGGACACTGCTACATCGATGTTCATAGCAGCACAATTCACAATAGCTAGACTGTGGAACCAACCTAGATGCCCTTCAATGGATGAATGGATTAAAAAAATGTGGCATTTATACACAATGGAGTATTACTCTGCATTAAAAAATGACAAAATCATAGAATTTACAGGGAAATGGATGGCATTAGAGCAGATTATGCTAAGTGAAGCTAGCCAATCCCTAAAAAACAAATGCCAAATGTCTTCTTTGATATAAGGAGAGTAACTAAGAACAGAGTAGGGTCGAAGAGCATGAGAAGAAGATTAACATTAAACAGGGATGAGAGGTGGGAGGGAAAGGGAGAGAGAAGGGAAATTGCATGGAAATGGAAGGAGACCCTCAGAGTTATACAAAAGTACATACAAGAGGAAGTGAGGGGAAGGGGAAAAATAATACAAGGGGGACAAACGAATGTCAGTAGAGGGGGCAGAGAGAGAAGAGGGGAGGGGAGGGGAGGGGAGGGGGGATAGTAGAGGATAGGAAAGGCAGCAGAACACAACAGACACGAGTATGGCAATATGTAAATCAATGGATGTATAACTGATGTGATTCTGCAATCTGTATATGGGGTAAAAATGGGAGCTCATAACCCACTTGAATCAAATTGTGAAATATGATATATCAAGAACTATGTAATGTTTTGAACAGCCAACAATAAAAAATTTAAAAAATAAATAAATAAATAAATTCATATTCAAACATAAAAAAAAAAAAATCAGAACCAAAGTACTGAAATGTGTTCATGGAGCTCCCTCTGGTGGCTTAATAACCACTCTTGTTTTAGCTGTTAATTAAAAAACAAGCTGTGATTATAGGAACTAAAGCAAAGAAAGTCTTCTGATACTCAAATATTTTGATGAAATGCTGAGTAATGCAACAAAACACATATTTTGATTAAGTGGTTATGGTTTTCCTTATAAATTTCTTATTTCCAACCTAAAAATTTAAAAATTCCAGCAAGTCTTGTAAATCTAAATTTAAAAGATATTTTGTAATTGCTGGGGGAAAAAGAAGTCTTCTAAACAAATACAAATCCTGTTAACAATCAAGAAAAAACACCTTAAGAATCATACTTAAAATACTTTAGAAATTTGCTAACTGTTCCCCCCAATCCTGTTTAATTCTTTTAATTGTTAGGATATTTGAAATTTTCTTCATACATTTATTTGTTATGTTTTCTAGTTTTTTTTTCCTCTGTTTATTTTCCTTTATTTTTTTCTATTTTTTCATTGTGGTAAAATATATAACCACACTTACCATTCTAACTATTTTTAAGATTCAATACTGTGGAATTAAGTACATTCACATTATTGTGCAAAGAAATTTAGTTTTAAGTGTTCTTAACATAAGCTATACAATATTCCAAGTACTAATACTATTTAGTTTTCAATGGTCAGGGTTAAGAAAATAATGCTTATCTTCCTAAAAAAGCTTGACTTCTCCTGAAGCCCAAACATTTGTAACTATCATCTGAATCACTTGTCTATTATTCAGAATATTCGATAGATAGCATCAATTATGCAGAACATTAGGAAATGGAATCTCAAAATTCCATAGCATGTTGTTCTTGTATAATAAATAAATATTAATTGAAAATGAGGGAAACAATAAGAAAAATAACATTACATGATTCTAAAAGATACATGACAAAAACAATTATATGTCTATTTTTAAGAAGGACAAAATATCTTTACTTTATTTATTTTTTATTTATTTTTATGTGGCTGAGGATGGAACCCAGTGCCCTCACATGTGCGAGGCAAGCGCTCTACCGCTGAACTATAACCCCAGCTCCAGAAATTATATGTTTGACTACAATACTGCTCAAAGGTGATGAACCTTCTATTATATCATTAGTTCAGCTCACCAAGATTCTAATCTCTAAGTTCTCTCAGACTAATACATGGCCATCTAGAGATAAGATAACTCTATATCTAGAGTCCAACAAAGTATGTATTCCTTATTGATAATGGCATCAGATAAATATACCTGCATTCTCTGGCCCTCACCAATAGTAGTTTTCTTCCCTGGGAGGGCAGATATTATACATGAGTATATTCCAAATCTTAAGATGGATTTCAATTGTAAAAACTACATATCTCAAAAATTAACCATGAAATAAATTTACTTTGAACATACATTTTACTGAACTCTATTTAGAAAAACATATTCCAAGGAATTTAGGATCCAGGACCTGAATTTTTTTAAAAGGACATTTGTAAGAATACAACCAATGTAAATTATTTCATTTCAACAATATGTAATGCAACCACAGAAAAAAGTTATCCCTTTAAAAATTACTTCCCTAAAAATAGTTAATAAATATTTTAATTTTCTCTGTTCAAATCACTGTGTAATTTTTGTCTCCTGACTCCATGCTGACTTATATAACTTATTTGAAGACTCATTTATAGTAATCATTTGGAATTATTTTGTGACAGATTTTTACCAAAGTGATGGATTATTCTGACTATGAAGTTTAACTTGTTCATACAAATATATACAGATAGGTGTGTGTATGTATATGTAGTCCCAAACAGGTGCCATATATCACAGCACACAATACTGACATGTAAAAAACATTAAATTTTCTACAACTGACACTGGGTTCTTGCGCATGTAACTTAAATGTTTTCATCTGAAATATGATGACTGTATGACTATATTCCTTCCAGCTCTATGATTTAATTTGTGAGTAATCATTTACAACATTTCCCCAGATGTTTATCAAGTATATCACAGATATTTACTTCTATCATGTACAAACCAAATTGTTCAACTCAAGTCATTCAAAAGTGATTACATTTATAACATCACTTTATTTGTACTGCACAATCTAGTTTCTTAATATATCTATTAAAAGTTTCTGCAAGACTTCTGGTAAGACTTCTTAGTATTAGAAGTCTAGTACAGTGGAGAACAGTAATGTTCCTTGATAATTAATAAAAACAATCCCATGAATATCAAGATAACTCAATTGAGCTACTATAAGACCAAATTGATTTGTTGCTAGTCAGAGTTTGTAACATGATCATACCTGTTTATATTTTTGAAGTGGTTTCTTTTCAAGTAATTTTTTATCTCCATGTTTCTTATATGTTAAAGGTATTCCATATTTAGCAGCAGGCTTTGTGATTTTCTGAGCAGGCATAACAGAAACCAAGCTTTGTCCTGAAGTTGGCCTTTTAGCTACATAAAAAGACATAAAGAATTTTTATATTAAATTTTTAATTAAAATTCTTCAAGATGGCACTTTTTCACTTTCTCAATTACAGCATTTGAAACTTTCTATAAAATACCTTATTTATTCCTGAGCATACATCAATGACATCTATTTTACACTAAATCCATCTTTGGAAAGAAGCAAAGATCCAAACTCCCCTAAGATGCTGAAATTCCTCATATATAAAAAAAAAAAAAAAAAACACCCTAAAATTGACTGGGGGTAGGAGGGTTGTACGTATCTGTGAATACATTAAAAAAGAAAAGAAAGAAAGCCCAATAAATTGTAAATTCTAAATGGGTAAAGTTTATGGTATATGAATTCTACATCAATAAAACTGCTCAAAACAAATTTTAATTTTTTTTTTTTTATAAATTACTTTAAAGCCAAGCAAAGTGATATATTCCTAGAATTCCAGCTACTCAGCTACTAAGGCAGGTGAATCGAAATTCAAAACTAGCCTGGGCAATTTCATGAGATCTTGTCTCAAAATAAAAAAAGATAAAAAGAGTTAGAGATGTAGCTCAGTGGGGAGAGTATCACCTCCCAGTCCCTCAAAAAAAAAATTATATTAAAAAATCAAATCATAAAATTCAAGAGCAACTGGTAAACATTAATTCCATCACTATGAGCAATTTTCCCCCCTCCATATATGGTCTGAATAATGTTTACACCTAGAAGAACAAACACCTTAAAACATTCATTAGCTTAAGGCACCACAAGATAGGTATCTTTATACATTGTTGGTAAAAAATAAATAAATTAGCCAAACTTTCTGGAGGACAAATCTATATCACAACCACTATTTATAAACTGATTTTAAAGAAATAATTAGAGAAACATAAAAATGTATGCAAGAGAATAAACCTTACAGCATTATATATTTAATCCTCATTGAAGCCAAGATGAGATTCCGTCTAAGAACAATAAGTTGAAGAAAAGAAAGGAAATTCTACTATTTATTCACATCTCTCAAGGATATTAAATGAATTCAAAGAGTATGAGCTACATCACCCTTACCCAAACCCTCTTTCCTCTTCTATTTTCCACATGTGCCAAGGTACCTCTGTGCTCAAACTCCCCCACAGCCTGAGTAGGAGCTTGCTTTCTTTCTTCCTTTTCCAGCCCACTCTCTAGCTCAGAATTTTATCATGTGCTAAATCAATTTAAATCAATCTTTTCCAACAAGTATTCTTCCTTTTTAGGAGGTGAAAGGAGAAAAAAATTTAACTGGTAGTTTACAATAAAATACTACCATTAAACTCAGATCTTCAAAGAAAATGTAATTGCAATAGAAAGTGTTCATCATAATAATGTGAATTAAACAAAACTTTGTTTATAACATAATCGTAATTCAAAGTCATTATGAATATGTCATCACAGAAAAATATATTAAATAACAGTGTGTGTTAAAATTGGTGTATTTTTTCTCTTTAACATTTTAATAATGAATACATATCCATATAATTTAGTAAACTCTTTTAAAAACAAAAAAATGTTAGCAATTTGGTTGGCATGTTAGAGACTCAGAAATAATTTATGTTGATGATGTGTTACACAGTGTGATGGGGTAAGGTTTTCTAAATATATATTTACATACACTGACCTGGAAACTAGTAAGTGTGAGAAATTCAACCACATGATCAAATTAAGAGATTCAACCTACGAATGAATTAGAACACAGATATACAAAGTCACAATACTGTAACTTGGCTAATTATACTAAAATAACCACAAAAATGTGTGTGCCAGAAAAGTGACTGTAGGCACAAATGCATAAAAATGATGATTCCCAAGATACAGATATGAATAGTTCCCAACCCCATTCCAGAGAAGAGGGAGAAATATTTATCTGATTTTTGAGTACTTCTCAGGTTTAGTGTCAAGGTTGCCTCTAGCAAGAAACAATGTAGAGGCTGGAGTCCATAAAAATATTTATAAACCCACTAGCAATACCACCTTATTTTAGCCCCATACTATTGAACAATTCCTTCTTTCAAATGCTCTTAAAACAAATGACTTTCTCTTTCGAATTCCTACATAGATTTATCCACATGGAAAGAATGTCTTGACTGATGTTTTCAGCTTTTGACAATGAGCTTTTTGATTAAGATTTGACTTATGAAGCTTGACTGCTAGGAGAGATCATGCCAATTCTGTTATTCTTAGTCACTTGTGAAATTCTGTGTGGAGTGAGTTATTTCTTAGGGACCTACACATTATACAATGAGAGAATGAGTTTAAGGGTCATTAAAAGGAGCTAAGTGGACTTGGGGATATAGGTGAGGGGCAGGACACTTGCCTAGCATGCATGAGGCCACGTTATCTCCAGTACCACATTTAAAAAAAAAAAAAATATATATATATATATATAGCTGGTCTTCCTGAGAACAAACTGCCATGCCATTTCCATTCTATATGGACTCATGTTATGATAGTTATATGTATTAATCTATCCAAACTCAAAAAAATATATTCCTCAAACCTTACATAACCTTTCAATGATTTTAGAAATCACACCTTTCAATGATTTTAGAAATCTACTCTGATTCTATGCAGGAAAAAATAGTTTCCTTCTCACACAAATGTGTGTGTGTGAGTATATGTGTGTATGTTTATGTATATCCATGCATTTATATAGGTATAGGTATAGTTAATAACCACATAGGCAATTCTACAAATTTATTGCCAGTAGTCATACTTAAAAGAAAACCTATGCTTAATAAATTCATATAATTTAAGAAAATTTTAGAATATGAAGTATTTAAAGAAAAATAACTTACACAAAGATTTATAACTATACTGGATAGTCTATAACATTCTATAACAATGTTCTTAGCAGAGCATTTGACAAATATATAAAATTGCAAGCTAGGTTTAATTTTTAAACATTTTTTAGTTGTTGATGGTCCTTTATTTTATTTATTTGTAATGTGGTGCTGAGAATTGAACCCAGAGCCTCACACATGCTAGGCAAGTGTTCTTCCACTAAGCCACAGCCCCAGCCTTCAAGCCAGGTTTCATTTAAATAAGACAGATAAGAAACAAATTTTTAATTAATTTATCAAAAAGTATTGTACAGTGCCATATATTGTAAGCAATTTTAAGGCATATTTCTTCTAGCTTAAATTTAGCCTACAATCATCCCAATTTATTCTTTCTTTTTCATCTATATGTCTACATACATTTCTAATATAATTAGGAATTGTCACAAACAGATGAAAAGCTCATTTACCTGTTATAGGCTGTGCTCCAAACTTTGAAAATGTTTTTAGACAAAATTCTTCTGCAATAAGCTTAGATTAAGAAAGGAAAAAAAAAAGTTAAAAAGATTTTAAATTTCCAAAACCAAAAGACCCTACCCATGCATCACAATACAGTTTTTCTTTTTTCAGTCATATGCTGCCAAAAGAGCTGTTCAAATTAAAACCAAATAATCCATTCAAAAAAGTCTCAAGCTAACTCCCTCAATCTTTTTATTTTTATTTTTTTTAGTTGTAGTTGGACATAATACCTTTATTTTATTTATTTATTTTTTATGTGGTGCTGAGGATCAAACCCAGCGCTTCGTATATGCTAGGCAAGCGCTCTACTGCTGAGCCACAACCCCAGCTCCAACTCCCTCAATCTTACCAACTTATTTTTATTACTTCTCCAGACGAGGTTTCTTCTCAAACTAATCTAATGTACAACCTAGACAGCCATTTACCACTTACTTGCTTCATATGCAAATACTTAAACAAAATTACCTATCTGGAATAATCTCTATGTCTATATGCATTCATATCCATCATTTACTTCAAAATGCTTCAAGAGTCATGTGTTATCTAAAGATACTCACTCAGAATCATTTCAGCATATTCAATGAGTTCACACACAAAAATTGTGAATGTTACTGGATATACATTCTTACATAATGTTTTTCAAAATATTTTTTTTAGTTGTAGATAGACACACTGCCTTTATTTTATTTATTTATATTTATGTGGTGCTGATTGAACCTAGTGCCTCACACATGCTAGGCAAGTACTCTACCACTGAACCACAACCCCAGCCCTACTCTTACATAATTTCATAAGTGTCTCTTTTTATCCTTACTTTAAACATTTCATTACTTGTTCCTCATCATGTGCAAACATTTTCAGAAGCAAAAATCACTTACATTTCCTGAAAGGAATTTTCTCTCCCTACTCCAAATTTTTTAAAGTGTAAAATTATGAAACCAACAAAGATTTAGCTTCATAAGCTTGCATTTGTTTGTTTGTTTGTTTGTTTAAACTGGATAAAGACAGGAAAGACAAATGAATTTTCTCTTTTTCCAAGAGAAGTAAGGCCTAGTGGAAAGAATAATCTTTAGCTACAATGGACCAGACTGCAACTGGCAGAAAACCATAACCTAAGATGGTTTTCTTTCCCATTAAAGATCACCTATAGGGGGCTGGGGTTGTGGGGTTGTGGCTCAGTGGTAGAGTGCTCACCTAGCATGTATGTGGCCTGAGTTCGATCTTCACACTACATAAAAATAAATAAAGGTATTGTGTGTCCAACTTCAACTAAAAAATAAATATTAATAAAAAAAGAAAAAAAAGATCACCTATAGGTCTCAAACCAACAGAATTAGTATTATCGGGACTATTAGTTATACAAATTCTCAAGCTTTACCTCAGAATTACTGCAACAGAGATTGTGGTGGGTGAACCTGGAAAACCCCTCCAGGGGATTATGATGTGTGCTAAACTTTGAGAAACCAGTACAGTAAAGGATAAGTGTAGGTGAAAGTGGTTCACAGGTATTATAGAGCAAGTATGTGAATGTTTTCTCTTCTGAACATCTGCATTTTTTTCCTTTATGGATGAAAATGGATGTTTCATGATCTCCACCTTGCTCCAAAATTGAATAATTTTTCTTACTGAACATGAGTCTTTTCTCTTATTTACAAGCTCATGTGAATTGAGAGATGAAATCATAGAATCCAAGAAGATTCTGGAATCCCTATGTTGTGCTAATACAATAGCCACTACATATGTCTATCATATGTCTATCTTTTGAATTAAAATTTAAAATAAGTGTAATTTAAAACTCAGCCCCTGAATCACACCAGCCACATTTCACGTGCTCAACAACCACAAGTGGTTAATGGCTATAATGTTTGAAAATACTGATATATGGAACAGCTTCATCTTCACAGAGTATTCTACTGGACAGAACTTATATCCACGATTTGTCAGGTCACATCCAGGAAGAAATGCCAGGGTGTACAACATTGAGAACTAGGCCCTAGCAACCTTGGCTTATGGCACTGAGAAACTTTAGGTATTAAAAATTAAAACTGTACAAACCATTACAAAAATACTAGAAAAAAAGTTATAGTAAAATCACAAATTGTGTCAAAATTACAGCCTTAAAAAATTACCACATACTGGGCACAGTGGCACATGCCTATAAATTCCAGCTATTCAGGAGACTGAGGCAAGAGATCACAAGTTCAACCCTACCCTCAGCAGTTTAGCAAGACCCCGTCTCAAAATAAAAAATAAAAAGGGCTGGAGATGCAGCTCAGTAGTAGAGTACCTCTGGGTTCAATCACCAGTATAAAAAAGAAAGAAAATGTCACAAATTTTCTCTCCTGAACATGAACAAGTAAAATGTAACAAGTAAAAAATGAACTCAAAGAACAAAAGATGTAAGTTTTCATGAAAAATGAAATCTAAGAGGTACTTAAATACCAATGAGGAGGGTCAATGTATATATTAAACATGTAACATTAAAAATTCCATTTGTTAATAATCATAATCTGCTCATTCCTCCAATGAATTTTGCATATTTCAAGCTTTAATATTTTCCCTTGTATTGCTAGCTCACTGAATTCCAGTGTTTTGGCCTTGGATTAAGTGTCCTAATTGCTTGAATGGGGCATAGAAACTTTTAACAAGATTAAATGAAGTCATTGTTCTTCTCTAGTAGCTGCCCCCAAAACAATACATCATAAAACTGTCCCTATAAATGTTACTTATAACAAAGAACTCTTATAAGACACCCACATCTCAGAGGTTGTTGCTATGTTCTATACAAGTAAACTTTAACTTTCAAATTTTAATTGGCTTTCTTGCTTACTAATGCATTCTTTTGGTATTAATAGTGAAATCCACATCTCTGTTTTCTGAGGAGCATTTGTTCACAGGAATGTTCTCTTAAGCCAGAAGGATATAAAGTTATACAACCATGATTTTACTAGAAATTTACAAAATTGCTTAAGGTTGGTTATTTTAATTAACAAACGTTACATTAAACAAGAAAAGTAAAATAATTCCAATTTCAAAGGATCACATTTTCATGAGTAACTCATGCTAACTGATTTGATATACACTGATTTATAAAACTGGTCACATTAAAATTCAGTTCAACTCAACAAATATTTATATATTTGAATACGAGAGGAAAAATCATGAGTCAATAATTTAATACACATACATAAAAATGCCCACAGAACAATCATTTCCAATCATTTTTTTGTCAAGTAAAATATAATTTTAACCATATAAAATCTGTGATAATATATTTATATAGTATAACAGATTGATACATAGATGGCATCTAATATATATTAAATATTTGGAGCACTTATGTGCTAGCCCATTGAGCATTCTATTGTACTATCTTTAATTCTCCTAACAATCTTACAATATAGATATATTTATAATCCCACTACAAAGAGAAACAAAAAAAGGTTTAATAATTTTAAAGTTAGGAACAGAGAAATGATGTACAACTGGGAAAGTAAAGAGAAAGAAATGGAGTTAAGTAAGATGGAAAAAGGAAAATGACACCAATATAGTTTGAAAAGGCATCTCATTCCCCAAGGTTCTGATATGCTTTCCATAAAAACAAAGCGCAGTTTCTTACTAAATACCATAACCCTATTGCTTAATTTTAATTATAAAATTAAAAAAACATACCTGAGGTGAGAGAAACTTTTCAATGCGCTTGGCTATAAAACCTTTCTCCAATATGGAGTTGACTGATGGTCTATCCCTAGGATTTCTTTTAAATAACTGAGAGAGCAAACTGCGGAGATCATAGGAATAATGCAAAGACACAGGTGGGAAAGATCCAGATATTATCTTCAGTACCAGGTTTTTCATATTGCCAGCTTCAAACTAAAAATCCACAAAATAAATCAACATATATGAAACATAAAGAAACTGAAACTGGGATTATCATCAAAGAGAAATAGTTTTTTCCTATTAACAGAATAGAAATACAACGCTCTTTCAAATAATTTAATCAGCATGTGTTCTTCTGCGTATCTGTAAATTTATTTCAAAACGAATATTAGTTTTCAAAAAACAAAATGTGATAATTTAAGAGTAATTTTTACTTATTCAAAATGCTAAGAAATGAGATAGAATTAATGAGAGATTTTAGACAATAATCAAGATGATTAAAAACTATGTCTTTGGGGTAGGAAAATTAGGGTCAAAGAACCAGAAAGGAGGTGAGTGGTTGTGGCTCAGTGGTAGAGTGCTTGCCTATTATGTGAGGCACTGGGTTCAATCCTCAGCACCAAATAAAAATAAATAAATAAAATAAAGGTCTAAAAAATACAATAACATTATTTTAAAAAAAAAGAACCACAGGGCTAGGGATGTGGCTAAAGCGGTAGTGCACTCGCCTGGCATGTGTGCGGCCCGGGTTCTATCTCCAGCACCACATACAAACAAAGATGTTGTGTCCGCCGAAAACTAAAAAATAAATATTAAAAAAAAAAAAAGAACCACAAAGGAGGGGGTGGACAACAATCTTTTAGTCTTCATTTAAAATCTTTGTTCCTATGCTAATATCTAGAATAGAAATTAAATATAAAAGTATTTAGGCAAAATATAACAAATAAACCTGCTAATTACTTTCCTATTAGTCAGTGTCTATTATAAATTTTGTGTGTGATGCTCCAAGCTATAGAATCAGCAATATGGCAAACATTCCAACACAGAATACAAGCTATGTTAAGAGTAATATACAAGCCAGGTTCAGAGGCACATGCATGCAATCCCAGCAGCTCAGGAGGCTGAGGCAGGAAGATGACAAGTTCAAAGACAGCCTCAGCAAAAGCGAAGTGCTAAGCAATTCAGTGAGACCCTGCCTCTACATAAAATACAAAAAAGGGATGGGATTGTGGCTCAATGGTTGAGTGCCCCTGTATTCAATCCCCAGTACCCCCCAAACTAAATAAATATATAAAGAGTAATATATATTTTAGGATCAAATACAGTATAAATTGAAGTTTAAAGAAAACAGAGGTAGGGCAGTATAAGATCTAAAGATTTCATTTTGAAAAAACAAAAGCAAAATTATACTTTTGATAACTATGCTAAAGTAACAGAACTGTTGTATACTCCTGATATGGTAAAATACACATTGAGTTAAATGTGCCATAAATTAAACATCAGCCATTATAACAATTATAGAGAGTTCCATTAAGTGCTAAGCTCTCCCAGAACATTTTAAGTATATCATTCAGTTTATAAAAATTAAGGTCAATTTTATAGAAATATCTGTATACCTAAAAAGGAATCCTAAATGCATAAAAAATATGATCCTCCAATGAACTTTCCTTTATGTCTCAACTAACAAACTCTTCATAAATAAAGATTACTTAGCCCCAGGTGTCCACTAAAGAGTAAATAATATTAACGAAAGATTTAAACACACAAACATTTAATGTTTGTACCTAAAATGATGGTATCACAGAAAAACTAACCAATTCGTTTACACACATATCTGATAAACACTATTCCACATCACTTTGGCAGCTTCTACTTTTTTTTTTCCTTAAGAAAGAAAAAATGAAATCTAAGCCTATATAGTTGAAGTATACACAGCCACTAAAAAGAATAACAAAGAAAAATAGATCCCAAATAATAAAAATAGGCTCTAAAACTGTTAAAACCCCAAGATTCTTTATATTTTTATGTATTTTCTTAAATTTTTGGTAACAAAATTTTTTTTTGTTTAATCAGTGGGAAAAAACATGTTAAAAATAATTTTGAAATGAAAAGTGATTAATATTAAATCTATTTGTGAAGAGTATTCTCCCTTTTTGGTGTATTTTTGTGCTGCTTTAAAAAAAAGATAATAATAATAATAAATACTCTGACTTAAGGAATATTTAAATTGATAAAACTCTTAGATGAATGTGTTGAATGAAGTTCTTTAACTTAAATAATTTAAGTGATTCTAAACTCAAATTATTTGGGTACTCTGAGAGAACTTGCTAAAATGAAACTAATAAAAATATTCAAGTTTAAACTTCAAATTTATAATAAATAAATTTAACATTGAGGACAAAATATATTTCTATCATCAGAAATAACAGAAAAAAATATATAACAGCAAATATATAACATTCATATATACTAAGGGTAAATCAATTTAGATTCATACTTCAGAAAATATAGCAAATTTAAAAACTGACTTAGAGAAACATTTCTAGTATATGAGGTCATCTGAAAGATAATACAATTTAAAAATACTTCAGAAACTTGTACTTACTGCATGTTTAAGTGTACACATCTCATAAAGGACACAGCCTAGAGCCCAAATGTCACTAAAGAAGACAAAAATGAGAAATTTCTTCTTAGTATGATATTTAAATTTTTTTTTACATTTAAAGGAAACAAAAGCAGCATGGGAATGTTTTAGAAAAAGATACTACATAAAACATTTCCTTTAAAACTGAAATTTTCAACCATCACTAAATGACAAGAACAGCTGTCTCAGATTAGAAAATATTGTTGTCTAAATAATCAATTTAAAGTGTCATTAAAGAATTAAAGATTTAAAAGAAAAATATCAAAACTTTCATGTCCATTCCATGTAGTTATTTTTATTTTGCAAAAGTCAAGTGACCTTATTCAATTGTTTGCAAAATGCCATGATTTTTAAAAATACTACAAAAGCAAAACATTATTTTAATTAACATAAAAAAATTAATTTACTAAAATCAAATCTAAAAGAAATCTATAAAAGCCAACTAACATTTCTTGGTTGGGATTTTTCAATTAGAAAGAGGAACAGAAAATAAAGGGTGACTAAAATTCAGTGGCAAGGCTGCTCTTTCCATCCACATATTACACAATCTGTTAAGTCATAATTCAGATCAGTGATTATGGATATAGGCACCAGATAGTTTTGATACTGGCCCCACCACTTAGTAGACTGAGTAATTTCAAAGAAGTTAGTCTATCTCGCAGAACTTGTTTTTTTAATACAGAAAGCATTTAAAACAATATCTGACATATAGAATGTGTTCAACAAAACTTAGCTATAATTCAATAGGAACTGACTATTGAGAACATTCTATTTCCAATTATAACTTAAGTAATAAAGTGATTCTACCTATAGTTCCTTTTTTTACAATTTCCTTCATCATATGTGTGTGTGTATATTTACATATGTATGTTATTGATTTTAGAATAAATCTCAAGGTTAACAAATAGAGTATAACAGAAAAATTTAAAGGAAAGATAGCATATCATTTTAAAATACCTTTTATTATTATAAGGTTTGTTTTCACAGATTTCAGGTGACAGATAGTATGGAGTTCCTATGCAAGTTCGAGCCAGCTCTACAGTACTAGAACAACAACAAAAATCATAGAAGAAACTTAAGATGTTAAAGACATAATAAATTTCCATATATACATAATCATTGATTGAAGTTTCACTGAAGATATTATATCAAAACAAAGTTGAAAATTGATCTGTTACCTATTGAGAACTCTAGCAATTCCAAAATCCCCAAGTTGTACTGTTCCATCTTTGGTTAGAAATATGTTCTGTGAAAGAAAGAAAAAAAAAACACCCAAATATTGTTACAGTCCAGTTCATTGTCTGAGTCAACAACGTTTTTCATAAAAATTAAGCCAGTAAAAAAAAAAAAAAAAAGCTTGAATAACTAAATTTTAACATGTAAAAGAACAAATGTAGTCCCCTACCTCATACTGTACACAAAATTAATTCCAAGTGGACTCTAGACATATAAAAACAAAAAATATAAAACTCCCAGAGAAAAATATAAGAGTAAAATTTAATTGGGATAGGCAATGGTTTCATACACAATACCAAAAGCACTAGCAAAAAAAAAGAAAAATAAATTGGATTTCATCAAAACTAAAACCTTTTGTGCATCAAAGGACACCATCAAGAAAGTGAACAGACAACCCACAGAATGGGAGAAATGAACTTGCACATTACATATCTGAAAAGAACCCTTAAAGTCAGCAACAAAAAGACCAAAAAAAAAAATCCTATTTAAAAATAGGCAAAGACAAATATTTAAATAAAATGTTCCATTTAAATAAAATGTAACGTATATAAACTCATAGAGACAGAAAATAAGATTCATGATTGCCAGGATCTAGATGGAAAAGAAATGAGTTGTGACAACTAACTGGTATAGTTTCTCTTTGGAGTCATAAAAATGTTTGGGAATTAGAGACTGGTGATGGTTTCAAAACTCCATGAATATATTAAAAATCATTAAACTGTACACTTGAAATGAGTGAATTTTATGATATGTAAAATATACATACCCCTGGAAACACCCCACCCACCAAAAACCTGCCTAAAAATTCAAACTAGTCTAAATGTAACCAGTCAGCCTTAAGAGTTTCCAGTAATTTAACCAACTATTTTGCATTCATAAATACAGAATTCTAATGTTTGGTAACAGAAATTTCGTTCTTTTGGGGGGCAGGGTGTTTGACCAGGGATTGAACACAGGGTCGGACACTGAGCCACATCTATAGCCCTATTTTGTATTTTATTTAAAGACAGGATCTCACTGACTTGCTCAGTGCGATTTTGCTGAGGCTGCTTTGAAGGTGTGGTCCTCCTGCCTGAGCCTCCCAAGCTGCTGGCATTACAGGCATGTGCCACCAAGCCTGGCATTTTCCAGAGGAAACATTCTCCTATCAAAAATGTAGAGCATTGCCAGGCGTGGTGGTGCACGCCTGTAATACTAGAGACTAGGGAGGATCACTGAATTCAACCCTGTCTCTAAATAAAATGCAAAAAAGGGTTGGGGATGTGGCTCAGTGGTTTAGCATCCTGTGAGGATGGCCTTAGGCCTGAGCTTAAACAACTCCATTTTAAAAACTCCAGTTTAAAACCTGCAGTCTCACCAGGCACATCCAATAGATCCCTCCAGAATGGCCTCAAACAAGTTACTTCCCCTCACCCTGATAAACAGAGTAAAGCCTCTGGCAGGCTGTCCTTGCCTGATAAGAGGGAAAGGTGAGAAGATCAGACCAGATGACCCCCGGGGTAAATGATGTCATGGAGAAATCAGATGGTAGCTGATAAGGATTGAAAGCGGGGTCAAAAGCCCCCAAACTTAGTATAAATAATAGAGCTAATGAACAGGGATTCAGCCAGGCGAAACAAGGATGCACTCGAGCTGGAGGCCTGATGAGGACCTGATATCCCATCACTTGTCATCATTTCCTGATTCTCTGTGTGATCCTCACTGCTCTCAAACTCTACTGCCTTGTCTGGACCCTGGTGAGAGCTGCAACTTCTCCTACAACCCCCTCCTCAACCAGTAGTCCACTCCACTCCAGGAAAAACCTGCCTTGGTTCCGGACCTGATCACTGCAGTGTGCATCTGCTGGACGTAAAGCCTAAGGCTTAAGACTTTTGATCTGACATTTGAACTTTAGCATGCAGAGGGAATATCTATCATTAGCCTGTCATGATTAAGTGTGTTTTACAGTGCTTAGAATTAATCTAGAATTGTTTGCTGTGAATTAATTAATCCAGAATTGTTTATTGTGAGTTGAATATGTCTACTGCAGTGCCTAGCATTAAGGATTGCTGTTTTCTTGATTAAGAACCTATAGAGTGAAATTGTATTGACTACTTTGAGGGGATAAAGCACTGAAAGGGGCAGAAGCGCATGGACATTCTTTATTTCTCCCCTCGACTGCATATGTCACAATTCTACCCCCTCACGACACATTCCTGGGTTCAATTCCCAGTATCAAAAAAAAATACAGCATTAATGAAAGAAAAGTGAGCCTCACCAATGTACAACACTGTGAAGTTTCATAATAGGAACAAACAGAACATCCTAAAATCTTTCAGAGAAAAGAAATAAGGATAAGAAATTATAATGGCTTTAAATTCCTGAAAGCAAAGAGCCAGAAACCAAATAAAAACCAAAATTTTATAGGAAAACAATTCCCTACCTAGATTCTTTGTTTGTTTTTTTGTTTTGGTTCTACCCAAAGCCACACTCTCAACTCTTTTTATTTTTAGAGACAGAGTCTCACTAAAATGCTGACGCTGGCCTTGAATTAGCAATCCTCTTGGTTCAGCCTCCTGCATTGTTGGAATTATAGGAGAGTGCCACCATCATGCCCAATCTCTTAATTGGAAGTTTATTCCATTAATGAGAAATAGAATAAAGTAATCTTCAGACATGCAAAATCTCAAAAATTCTACCTCCCATACATTCATTTTTGATTGTGTTCCATCATGGGGAGAGAGGAAATCAAAGAGAGAAAGATATGAAAAGGAAGCAGGCGATCTAACAGAGGATTATTAACCCCAAAAGAGGATTTCTAGAAATAGATTGAAGAAGGAACAATGAAGACAGATAACACAATGCACATTGAACAGGGTTCAAAATCAAGCTCAATACATGTTCCATGTCCTTATCCATTCAGAACTTACTAGTGACAGAATAAACATACCTGTGATTTTATGTCTCGATGAAGAATTTTTCTATCATGTACATGTTTCAGAGCCAAACATATCTGTACAAACCAGTCCAAAATCTAGGAAGAAAAATCAGATCTGTTATATCTTTTAAAAGTTACATATCATGGTATATTTCCTTGATCATTGAAAGGATTCAGGAACATATGGGGTTAAGGAAAACTAAGTTGCTAAAAAAAAAAAATTGGGGGCTACAATTTCTTTTTATTTTTATTTTATAAACACTAACATTAAGTAGATATTCAAGTAAACTGACTTACAGAATGTGCAAGAACACATACCAAATCTTAAATGAAAGAGATACTATTGAAGCATCTCATAACTCAAAGTATGGGAAAAAACTTGAGTGAAAAATGTAATTTATATTTTATAATAGTATGAAGATAGGTGACTTTTCTTCATTTTTTCTATAATGCTTTTTTCAATATAAACAAAAATCACACACACAAAAAAATAAGGCTAGAAAATGGGAAGACATCTCTTACTTTTCCTTTCCCCTTATTCACCATGTGTATATAGCCTTTGGGGCTAGCAATTTGGAAGTTTCAAAGGGCTTAATTTCTACCTCGCTCCTAACACCAAAATAATTCCAAGATAATGGCATTTTTAAAAAATACTTATGTTTTAATTGTAGTTGGACACAATACCTTTATTTTATTCATCCATTTTTACGTGGTGCTGAGGATCAAACCCAGCACCTCGCACATGCTAGGTGAGCGCTCTACCACTGAGCTACAACTCCAGCCCCCTAAATGACATTTAAAAAATTTTTTCTTTTAGTTGTAGGTAGCCACAATACCTTTGTTTATTTATTTATTTTTATGTGGTGCTGAGGATCAAACCTAGTGTCTCACAAGCATTCTTCCACTGAGCCACAACCCCAGCGGCAAAGTCAATGGCATTTTTAAACATGAAAATCAAACTGATAAAAGAAAACATAGAAATATGATATATCAAGAAATTTGTAATGTTTTGAACAACCAGCAATAAAAAATTAAAAAAAAAAAAAGAAAACATAGGCTAATTTTTTATAATCTTTGAAGCAGGACTTCCAAAATATGACAGAAAACTATTAACAGCATAACATAAAGACTGATAAAGTTGACTACATAAAACTTAAAACATCTGCATGGCAAAATATATAATCAAATTTAGTAATAATTATTAAAAAATACTGCAGCATGGGCTGGGGTTGTGGCTCAGTGGTAGAGAGCTTGCCTAGCATGGGTGAGGAACTGGGTTCGATCCCCAGCACCACATAAAAATAAACATATAAGAAGCCAATTTGGAAAGCAGTATGGAGATTCCTTGGAAAGCTGGGAATGGAACCACCATTTGACCCAGCTATTCCTCTTCTCGGACTATACCCAAAAGACCTAAAAACATCATACTACAGGGACAAAGCCACATCAGTGTTTATAGCAGCACAATTTACAATAGCTAGACTGTGGAGCCACCCTAGATGCCCTTCAATGGATGAATGGATTAAAAAAAATGTGGCATATATACACAATGGAATATTACTCAGCACTAAAAAATAATAAGATCATGGCATTTGCAGAGAAATGGATGGCATTAGAGCAGATTATGCTAAGTGAAGTTGGCCAATCACAAAAAAACAAATGCCGAATGTTTCCTCTGATATAAGGGGGGTGACTCAAAATGGGGAAGAGAGGAAGAGCATGGGAAGAAGATTACCTCTACATAGGGAAGAGGGGTGGGAGGGAAAGGGAGGGAGAAAGGGAATTGCATGGATGGTGGAAGGAGACCCAAACTGTTATACAAAATACATGTATAAAGATGTGAGAAAAAAAAAAAGAATAGTGTTACCCTAGATTAGGTAGAGAGAAGTGATGGGAGGGGTTGGGAGGGGCTGGGGAGATAAGAAGGATAGTAGAATGAAACAGACATTATTATTACTGTGTGTATATATGTGAATGCATGACCAATGTGATTCTGCAACCTGTATACTCAGAAAAATTATATCCCATCTGATTCAAATGTATGCTATTTCAAGGTCATTGTACTGTCATGTGTAACTAATTAAAACAAAACAAAAAAAACAAACAAATAAAATAAAGGTATTGTGTCCATCTACAACTAAAAAAAAAAAGGATAAAAAAAAAACTGTAGCATAATTGACAGATTGCTGATTCTCCATTACGTAAAAGTTCTTCCAAATCACTGAGAAAAATACCGACAGCCAAAATAAAAAGTGGATAAAAGACTGGAAAGGCAAACACAAAGGGAAAAAAGCTCAATAAAAACCTACATAAAATACTAAATCCCCTTCAAATTGAAAATAACAAGGTATCATTTTAACCGAACTTGAAATAATATATAATATCAGTCAGATATAGGAAAATAAGTCTTTTTATGCCCCACTTATGAGAAATTTAATTCTAATCACTTCAAATCAAATTTTAGATTCACATACCATTTTAAATGCAAGTTAAATAAATAATTGCAATTTCAAATTTATTCTACAGATATAGTGTCAGAAATACCAAAATACATGCATAAGAGTGTTTGTTATAGCACTATTAGATCCAAAAATATTTTAAATAACAGGCCACAAAGGAGTGTGAAATACATTGTGATACATATACTAGAAATATTCTGCATCCATTGAAAAGAATGAAGCAACCAGACGAGGTAGCACATGCCTGGAATTGCAGTGGTTTTGGAGGCTGAGGCAGGAGGATTGTGAGTTCAAAGCCAGTCTTAGCAAAAGTGAGACACTAAGCAACTCAGCAAAACCCTGTCTCTAAATAAAATACAAAAAATAGGGCTGAGGATTGTGGCTCAGTGGTTAAGTGCCCCTAGTTCAATCCCTGGTACCCACCCTCCACAAAAAAAAAAGAATGAAGTACATTTATGTATACTGTTTATATAGTGTTAACTAAAAAGAGTTGCAGAATATATAGTATACAAGATGCATAGTATACTCCTATATTTATAGCACATACTTGAGCTCTATGTGATTATAATTTTGTGTGTGTGTGTGTGTGTGTGTGTGTGTGTGTGTGTAGGAAGGAAAGAAGGAATAAAGATAGGAAACAGAAGGACAGCTACCAACCAGAAAACAGGGTTTACCTCAGGAAAGTGGATTTGCAGAGAATTAAATATAATGTAACAAGCTTTACTTGTTCAAATTTATAGATATGCAAGTAAAATCTGGTGGAAGATATTATGTTTTGTTTCCTAGCCTTGGAACAAATAATAAATAGTCTTTAAAAACCCAATCCAAGATTCCTTATGAAAATTTCTAGACAAAAATAAATTCTGTGGCCTTAATAGCTATTTGATACGATAAGACTCTAAGTTTTCAGAGCAAATTCAATTAAAATTAAGAAGGGGTGATAATGAGAGATGAATGGAAGGAATTTAGAGAAGGAAAAGACCACAGAAAATAAAGAATATTTAAAGAAGTTGGGACTTGAACTGAACTGGAAAAAAATAAAGGCAGCTTATTAATAACAAAGAGTTAGGGGAAAAACATTACCAAAATAAAATAAGTAATCAGAACAACTATAAAGACAATGAGATAGATATATAAACATACAGCTTAGTGGCTAACACAAAGTACCTGCTCAATAAATATCTCCTAAATTAAACAAAAGAGGTGGAGATTTAGGGAATAATAGAAAAAAAAAAATAAAGCTACTTAGATAGGGTAGGGCTATACTTTATTGATATTGGAAATCAAAACAGAGATTAGATTTAACAGTTGCCAATGCAAGCCTTACAGAGCTAGAGTTATGTAGCAAAGCTACCTGTTAGGGAAGATTTGATCTGGCAGCAGTAAACCATATTGTTGGGACCCTGAAGAATTAAACACTTAAAATGAATAATTAAGTTATATACATATAGTCAGGTGTGGTAGCAGGTATTTTTAATCACAGCTACTCGGGAAGCTGAATCAAGAGGATCACAAGTTTTAGGCTGGCCTGAACAACTCAGCAAGACCATGTCTCAAAATAAAAAATAAACAGGACTGGGGATGTATTAAGGGGTAGAGTGCTCACCTGGCATGTGCGAGGCCCTGGGTTCAATGCTCAGTTAACACAAAGAAGAAAAAAAATATACAAATATATATACACACATAGGATACACGTAAATATACATAATACACATAGGATATAACACATTAACATATAAAAATATATTGTTACAGAACTAGAAAAGAGATAGAGAACTATACAAAAGTGGGAGTTAAATAGTCAGAAATGTGCCAAAGGTATTGAATATACCAGACTGCCCTAGTTATTACAATTAGCATTTGTAGTTAGAAATAGATACACACATAAATAACCAAACAGCTCATTTTTGAGCTATTTCTCAAAAATAGGGTCAGATATAGGAAAATAAGTCTTTTTATGCCCCATTTATGAGAAATGAAGCTCCTACATACTCACTTACCTGATCTTCTTGAAACAAAATGCCTTTCTGAGCATTTATCCGCTTAAACAGATCTCCTCCTTCACAGTAATCCATCACTATGTAGAGAGAGCCATTTTCTACAAAGTAAAACATTATTCCATTTTTTAAAATTTATATCAATTGCCCAACTAACTTAAAAGTACTTAAAAATTTACTAAAAAGCAGCCACTAAGCAAAAAGTGCAGAACCACACTCACAAGAATTAAGGTGCAAGTTTACACTGTTATAAAGACTGTATAATGACAAGTTATGTGCACTCAATCATGTTTTGTTTTTTTCTTTTAAATCCAAGAACACACTATCCTATTGAAGAAAGGTGTTCACATTAACTTTAACATCTCTGGAATACAGATAAAATGCAGAGATACTTGATTTCATTCAATAATGAATAAAATAAGCTTCTGAAATATCATATGCAAAATCATACTTTTCTACCTATTTGTCAGATATGAGTTATCTTAGTTTCCAAATGACCATTAATTTTCAGTTTTGTGTTACCCACTTGAATCAATTACTTATAAAATAAATGTGATAATATATATTGTGATAAAATCTGAAGAGCTTTCTTATATTTCATTCTCTTTAAAAAAAACAGTGTATAACTTGTGAATGAACATGAAGAAGAGGCACTGCCTTATTTACCTTTATATCCTGATTCACAGAGAAAGAGACTTTCATGTCTCTTCCATGGTGGAAGGGACTAGAAACACTTTTTTTTGGTACCAGGGATTGAACTCAGGGACGCTTGACCACTGAGCCACATCCACAGCCCTATTTTGTATTTTATTTAGAGACAGGATCTCATTGAGTTGTTTAGCATCTCGCTCTTACTGAGGCTGGCTTTGTACCATCTCAGCCTCCCAAGCTGCTGGGATTACAGGCCTGTGCAATCATACCCAGCTTAGAGAAACATTTTTAATCTTTCTTTGCGCTCCTATGTGGCCAATATCATTTCTAACATTTATTGAACCACTACTCACTAGTGCAACTATCATAATTCAAAGTAGAGTTTTCCACTTCTCATTTCCTTACCATCTGTTATGGCTTTATTCTTAGTAATATTTATTTGTGGTGGTGTGTTCATGCTCCCATATCATATTTTGCTACACTGCTTAAAATACACTATTAGAATTGAGAACTTGTAACTGGGCATGGTGGAATATGCCTATAATCCCAGCAGTTTAGGAGGCTGAGGCAGAAGGATCGTGAGTTCAAAGCCAGCCTCAGCAACTTAGCAAGACCCTGTCTTGAAATAAAATATAAAAAAGGGCTGGGGATGTGGCTCAGTGGTTAAGTTCAATCCCTGGTACCAAAAAAAAAAAAAATTGAAAACTTATTTCATTAAGCTAACTAAGAATGTAGTTCTTTATGACACAGCTCTTTATGACTGATATGGAAAGATCATACAAATACACATGTGAGAAAGTACAATTCGAAAAACAAAATTGTACACTTCAGTATTTCATATACGTGCGTATATAATACATATATGTGATATTACTATTTATAAAACATAACAAAAAGCAAAAATTACAAATAGTATGTTATCATTTATATGCTTAGATTATTTCTGGAAAGAAACATAAGGCAGTGATAACAGTGTTAACTCCAAGAAAAGAACAAAAGTATGCCAAGGATAGCAAAAGAAGGTAAACCTACTGTTCTGTAACCCCTGAATTTTGTACCATATGTATATAATAGAAGATAAAAACAAAAAAAATATGTGTAGGGGGTGTTAATAGGACCTGAGAGAGGGATGGAGACGCAATCCTCCCTTTAAAGGAATGGAGCTTTAATATATGAACTCAGTAATATATTCTGCCACTAGATATTATTTATTTTTTAGATTAATACTTATTTTAAATGTAAGTTTAACAGAACTGTCTTCTCTGTAAAGCAAATACTAATCTATTCTTTATTCCAACATCTTACCACCAACTATTTACCAGGCATTTTGCTAGGTATATACAAATACAAGATACTACCCTTATCACCAATAAACTTGTACAGTAATAAAGGCCCTCCCCAAAGTCAAAACAACAATTCCACCTAGAAATGGCTTAGAGTTATAGTCACAAGGCCAAAAGGCTATATAAATCAAATGATAAAACCCCAATGAATGTTAGAGAAAAATGGTAATGGGGAGTGATTTATAATCAGTAAAGCATGTACTCTTGGTTGGCTAACCCAATAGCCAATTAGAGCACTCTTTTCCCTTCACCACTCCTCAATTTAGAAGCTAAAAAAAGCCAGATGTTTTAGCTCCCGTTTCCCATCACAATTAGAGGTAGTCATATGACTCAGTTTGGGTAGTAAAATCAAAAGTAATTCTGAAAAGTGGCTTCTGAGAACGCATTTTTCTGATTAAGGAACAGACTCAAGATGTGCTGCTGTTGCTACCATTTTCTCTTCTTTTGGCCTCGGATACAGACATGTGCCTAAAATTGCAAATGCTATCTTGGGACAAGAAAGCATGAAGCTGAAAAACTTATATACTAAGGATGGCAGAGTAGAATGTCAGAGCCTGGATTATAGTAACACAGATGAGCTGCCATGCCAAAGGTCTGCTTATCTTAAGACTTGTTAACTGAGACAATATCTTTCTCACTTAAGCCAACAGTGGTCAGATTTTTCTATTACCTGCAGCCAAAAGTAATCCAAATTTAACTCCTATTGAGAAGTCTTTTTTTCAAGTTAATTAGATATTGGCAGCAGCAATGGGGAACAAGTAAAATGCCAACCTCTATATCAATATGAGATTGGCATGCTTGCAAAAAGATATAAAAACTAGAAATGAGAACTCAAACAAGATGATAAAGACAAAAAATAAAAGCAATTAGAAGACAGTCAAAGACAACCAAAACCAGAAAATTATATACTAATAATGGAAGCAGAAAGTCAAAAAACTATACCATATATAAACATACACTCAAATATCTGGTCATACAAAGCAATCCCCCATTTTCCCCATCATAAGATCAAAATTTTTTACTTATATGCATTTATAAATGGAAGGAAATCAGATGAAACAGTCGAATGCCTATAATAATTAAAATTAAAATCTATCATACATTTATATTTTAAATTATACACACACACACAAATAGTCTTCTACCCACTCTCAAGGTTTTATCAAATAATTTCATCCAAACTATTCCAGTTTATTTTCAAATCAATGCCTTTTACTGATTCACCTATCCATTTTTCCAGTCCATATGATTTGCACTTAACTGAAAAAAAGAGAAATTTTTAATGGAATTTCTTCTCATGCACTAATTCCCAGGTGCATAATATTGGGATTTTTAAATAAATCATTCCCGGGATAGTATGGTAGCTCAATGGCAGAGTGTGTACTTAGTATACACACACAAATCAAGAAGGCTGTAGGTGTGATTGTCATAACATTCCATATTCCCTTGTAAGTAAATTTAAAAGGCTTATTTACAGGACTAGGGTGTAGCTCAGTGGTAGAGTGCCTGCCCAGTACGTGTATTGCCTCTTCATTCAATCCTCAGCACATATTCCCCACCCAAACACACATACCAAGGCTTACTTATAATGGTATCTAATATCTCTTGCCCACATCCTGCATAGGTAGCACAAATGGAGTTCCCTTGGTGGGATAGGCTGGCTGAGAAATAAAAGCTAAGAAAAATAGAACGAAAAAAAAAAAAAAAAAAAAAAACCACCCCAACCTAAGGGTTGGGGTGGAGGAGGCAGACCTCCATTTGTAGCCAGTCAGGCAGAAGTTCCAGAGGTCTGGACTTATGAATGGGTCAAAGAGGAGACAATCTCAAGTACTGAGCTCTCACTCTTGAATTGAATTAATCTTTTGAGGTCATAGAAGTTTTTTATATTGATTACAGAGAAAAAAATAAGGTACTTTATTTTTCCTAATACAATATATTTTGCACAGCCATAGAAAATAATAAACACTGAATTGTTAATAGCGCTTATCCCTAGGGAGTAGGAATAAGGATGGAGTTACAAGAATGGAGTACTTAACTTTTAGTCATGCATGTCTATACTTTTTGAATGTTTTTCATGAGCATGTATTCCTTTAAACTTAATAATAAAATCTTAAAGAATGTCATCCCTTTTCAATTATTCAGATGTTTCTATCTGTAGTACTAATATAAATACAAAATATCTGCTGGAAATTTGTCAACATACAGTCAAAACCTTTTAACTTGATTAAAACTGTGGTGCTAAGCTGGATGCCCTGGCTCACACAGGTAATCCCAGCAACTTGGGAGGCTGAGAGTGTGGATTTCAAGTTCAAAGCTTGCCTCAGCAACTAAAAAGGCTCTAAGCAACTCCTTGAGACCTTATCCCAAATTTAAAAATAAAAAAGCCTAGGGAGGGATGGGGTTGTGGCTCAGCAGTAGAGTGCTAGCGTAGCATGTGTGAAGCCCTGAGTTCGATCCTCAGTCCCTCATAAAAGTAAATAAATAAAGGTATTGTGTCCAACTACAACTAAAAAATAAATATTTTTTAAAAAAAAAAAAGGCCTAGGGATGTGGCTCAGTGGTTAAGCACCCTTAAGTTCAACCCCTGGTACCAATAAATTAATTAATTCATTCATTCATTCATTCATTAAAATTGTAGAGCTAAAAGAAAAAAATTAAAAGATAGATGGTGGGGAAAGATAAATACAGGAAATTCAAGGTCCTGAGAAGAATGACTAACATTTTACTCTTTCACATAAGATAAAAATCTTCAATTTACTGTCATCATAAAAGTTAACAATATGATGTGTTAATTTAACAATATTTTAAAAAAGTATCTTTTCATTTAGTAGGTATTAAGTTTATCTAGGAACAAAGTAATTTTAGCTGTAACTCATACTCTGAAACTAGTATGTGATACCACCTTGAACTAGTCATTTCAATTATCTTCTACTTTTAATTTATCTTTATTTTGTAATTTATAGAGATTTATGATAATAATGGGAGTGATAGGACTTTATTGAGTAGGACTTGAATAAACTACTTTGAATTGCCTTTCAAGAAGCTTTGCCCTATCTTACTTCCTACATTATCAAATATAATAGCATATAGTTCCAAAATAGCCATGACAATTACTACATTTTAAGAACTTGAGAAAACTTTCAATATATTTCAATGTTATTATAACAGAATATACTAATACAAAGGGTACTTTCTAAAGATGAGAACATTTTCTCAGTGGTAGTGTTTGTATGTTTAAAAGCAGTTTAGTTTAAAAATATGTTAGGGATGCGGACATCACTCAGTGATAGAGTACTTGCTTAGCTTCCATCTACACCTGGATTCAATCCTTAGTACCATTTTAAAAAACAAAGTTAATTACTGTTTTTGCTTCTTCAAATTCTTGTACTTACTATACTGCTTCGTTTTAAGCAATCACTAATAAGAACAAGTCAGAATTAAACTACCAGGGAGATGGTATGGTGTCAGTATTATCTTAGAATCAAGCTGATATTTATATGCATATGTGCTGAAGCAAAAAAAGATACTCCTTTTTTTTTTGTACCTGAGAATACATTCACAAAATGAATCCTTACAAGGAACATATCCAAAATTATCAATGGCTTAGGACTTATATTGAATTGTCTTGCAAAATTTTTCTGACCTTCAAATGATTCTCTATATTGGACAATATTTGGATGCTTCATGTTTGCCAAGACGGCAACTTCTCTCCTTGATTCTTCCCTTTCTTTACTGGACATCTTAAGTTGGAGAAAAAAAGGAAAATAGTAAATCAAACCATTAGTAAGAGAGCTAATAAAAAAAATATAAATGGCATTAATATAATCCAATCAACAAAACATAGCAAGGAGTTAAAAAGGATGAGCTGCCAGGCCTGGTGGTGCATGCCTGTAATACTAGTGGCTTGAGAGGCTGAGGCAGGAGGATCACGAGTTCAAAGCCAGCTTCAGCAACTTATCAAAGCCCTAAACAACTTAGCTAAATCCTGTTTCAAAATTAAAATATAAAAAGGACTGGGGATGCGGCTCAGTGGTTAAGTGTCCCTGGGTTCAATCCCTGGTACCAAAATAATAAAAATAATAATTGTTTTAAAAATAGAAAGCATGAACTGATTCTATATATAAAAACATTTTAAGATGTTTAAGCTAGATTAAGTTACAGGATAATAAGCATACTTTTCTAAACACAAAAACTCAAGGACATAAAGATCTGACTATTCTAAAATCAGTGGTACTCTTTAGGATTATGGCAGCCTTTTGCTTTAAGGTATATATTGCTATTTTTTTTTTCAAGTCCTCTAATGAGCTCCATGTAACCAAATCACTACTTGTGTAATCGAAGTAAAAATATACTTACTCCTGAGATGTTAATTTCCTTGATAACATATTGTCTGCCATCCTCGGTAGATTCAACAAGAATGGCTTTCCCAAATGAACCTTCTCCGATCTTTTGCACTCTAGCATACTTCTCCATGGTTCTTTTTCTAAGGCATTTTTATAGGTATACTAAAAAGAAGGAAAAAAACAGTTAAAAGAGCACTTATGTTTAATTCAAATTCTAATTCCTTAGGAATTTCCTAATTAAAAAAAAAAGGCTAACATCTTTACTGAAAGTTAATAACCTTTATCTCAGTTTCACTCCTGCAACATAGTTACAACCCAAAAGCCAGACAGTGACATTTCAATTTTGTAAGAATGCTTTGGAATTTCAAATATTTCCATACTTAAAATTATATGCAGAGAACAGCAAACTTTTTCCTACATAAACGACTTAGTAGCGATATTTTATTATATCTAATAAGAATGCAAGCTTAATAAGATACTATCTACCAAAGTTATTTCTTTGCTATTATAAAACAACTTCAGATAAAATTTATGTACATATATTTTAGTGTACTTACAAGGATTTCCTTAGGATAAATTATAAGTTCACAGAATATACACATTTGAAACTTTCAAACATAATGTCATACAAAAATGTTTACCAATTTATATTGTAACTTGCAGTATTTTTGTCATACAAAAATGTCTACCAATTTATATTCTATCTTACCTACCTTCATTAATACTGGCTATTAATTATTAAAATCTGTGAGAGGCAATAAAGGGTAGTAGTTAAAGAGTACTGAAGAGAGATTGTGTGTAAATCTGGCTTTATCACATACTATATGGTCTGAGACAATTGACCTATCTTTACATGTTCATCTATAAAATGTAGATAACCATAGTATGTACTTACAGAACCACTGGGAGGATTAGTTAATATAAGTCATGTACTGAGCACAATGCCTGGCATATGGCAAACACTATGTCACAATTTATTGTTACTCTTGTTTGTTGAAGGAAATGATGTTTCATTTTTATTTGAACGAAATAATGCTTAACTGGTAAACTTAAAAAATTCTTCCACATTTACTGAACATTTGTATTTCTTCTTTTTTGAACTATTCATCTATTTTCTTAATCCATTTTCTACTAAGAGTATTCTTTTTAATAATTTGCAAAAACTCCTAATGTAATCAAATCCTTAGCTATCACAAATGACTTCCTCCTATATCTTATTTATCTTTCGATTTTATTTAAATAAAAAAAAGCTTATTTTGATGTGAACAAATGTATTAAATTTTTCTTTATATTTCTGCTTTAGATATTATACATACACCCTTACCATACCTAAGTAGTTAAAGTCATCAGTAGCTTCAACAACGGTAATTTCAAGAGAGTGATAATTTCAGGAAAAGCCCAAGTACACTACACTAGATAGTAAAGTTTAAAAAAATAAAAAGTAGTGTGTGGGGGGAATGGGTGGTAGAGATAGGGAGTCATAGAAGCAATAATCAACATAGCCTGCTGGCAAGATTACCTTTAATGTGGACATACATGAATTCACTATATTAATCTGAAACTCCTTCTAAATATTTCAATTACCCAACTTTCTCTCTTCTATTTCCACTTACAGCAAACAAATTTCCAGTGTATGATTCCCTTCTGGGAGAAAATGAGCTTCCCAGGAAACTATTTTAAATTTCTGTGACAGTGTACTATATTTCTTTCTCATTGTAAATTAATAAATTGATGCTGTCATTTCATCCATCAATACTAAATTTGTTTAATTTTATTTTGCTTCTAAAAAAAGAAATAAAATGAAGGTATTGTGTCCACCTACAACTAAAAAAAAAAATTTAAAAAAAAAGAAGACTCAATCTCAATAAATAACAAAATTCATAGTCTAGGCCTGTAAAACCAAAGGCTAGAACACAGCCTGTGGTAAAAATTGATGGGTAATTATGCTGTATGAAATTTTGTGGGAGTCTTCCTCTACCTTAGAAAACATAGCCATATTCCATTTTAAATTTCTATAGGAAACAAGAATGTTTTTAGCAACTTTAAGAGAAACAAGAAAAGAAACATTATCATAGACATTAGCATCATCAGTGGGTTAAAGAGGAAAAGTCATTCCAAACATACTAAATTCAAGTTTTATCAACTGGTGTAATATAATGTCTAATGTCTATCTGGGAACCATCCAAAATTTAAACAATTATGTCCCATTATCCCATTTATGGAATACCTAAAAAACTTACACTGAGCAAAAAATATACCACTTATGGTAACTGTGAAATGCACAGTTATGCTTTCAGAGTTCTATTCTTTTGAGAAAACAGATGAAAAACAAGTGATAATATACACTAGTATTATTTGTAATAATAAATTATATAAGCTATAGATTAAGACTTCCAACCTATTTTAACACACCTGTGACAATTTCACTGAAATAGTCATGGAATTAAAAACTTGGGGTTTCATGGGTTAATGATTTCTCCAGGACAGGAAAATTCAATATGTCACATTACTATGCTACTTAGGAAAATAAAAAAAATCAATATACACTCATCTTAGAAAACTAAATTTCATAAAATAAATTATAATACATACTAATCACATAATAAGATTATTTCACAATCATCACTATCCAGCGACTGCCATGAAAGGAAAAACAAAATCAGTCATTTGGGCCTTTCTTAAAGTTTAGTTGCCAATTACTTTCCAGGGATCACATGAAAACATGGAAGCTCCAAGAGTCCCTAGTATTGCATTCTACTGCCAACTACATTACTGCATCTCTTAGTTATAATTAATTCAGTAAAGCAGAAGAGAATCTACTGCCCCTGGTATTGATAAAAGATAACTCTAACTGCAATCAAAATAATGGCACAAAAACAAACACCTGTCCAAGTAATAAAAGACTTGTGGCAGATGAGTTCCAGAATAACTGACACGCTCTCCTTTTTTGTAGTTAACATACATAAGAGGAAATAAAAGGAAAACCATGAAAAAATAGGTTATTTTCAATGTCTTATAACATATTTAATTGAGCTACTTATTTCTTTGTGGTAAGACTTCTCAACTGAATTATAATCCTAAAAAAAATTTCCAAACAAATGAAACAAAACAAAATGCACTGTCCACATTATAACATGTAACTGACGCAACACAGAATACTGTTCTTATTTCATTATGGTAATAAACTAAATTCTAAATAAATGTTCATCTTTTCTATGCTTACATAAAATCACAACTTTCAGTTTATAAAAACCATAACTCACCACTAAATATATGAGGTTGAACATACTACTTCTTCTCCACACTAAAGGGGTCAAAAAGACAGAACAGGATCTCAAGATGGCAACAGCAAAACAATTCTGGAAACTGGCAAACAACACACACAAGGCGGCAACAACTGACTTAGGAACCAACAGAAAGCTGTATTTTAAGCCAGCAGAGGGAAATAAGAGAAATAAGAATGCAAAAATAATCAATTAAATAAGTTGATTCCCTCCATATATAGCTCAATAACCAGGTACACATGAACGTCGGCTAATACTAGGATTAAAATAGGACTGGTTGAAAGGCTAAGCAACAGCCACACATACAACATGCCTCCTTCATCTCTCCCAATCAGGGAACTACATATCTTCCATGTTGATAAAAAACTGAGATGTCTCTAGACTGGGAACCCCAGGTTCAGCTGGGAGATTAAGAGAACGTCCACAAAATAAATGTTGAGACTAGACTCTGACCATCCCACCTCCAAAAGCAATTTAAAACCTAAAAAAAAAATGTATGATAATAATTATTGAGAGGTGGCAACTATTAATATGTTCTACATTCATCCTAGCCTTTTCTTCCCCTGAAGACATCTCCCATGTGCCACAGTGAAATAGAACTATAGTATAAAGAAGCAGTCTTCCTGGGATGAGGAGAGAAATTAATTAGTTTTCAGAGCTTCCAAAATCCTAGAAAGGAAAAAACAATATAGGAGTCTAAAAATTTGCAAGTAAATCCACTTCTGTCAGCCCATTTCTAACCTACACATGCACACAAAAAGACTGAGACAGACTAGTTCTAACAAAACCTCAGAACAACCATTGATAGGACACTTGGAAGTGTTAAATAACTGAAATAGAAAAAATAAAACCATAGTAGTAATAAAATAAAACACAAAAGAATGATTTTTTTTTACAAAATCATTGAGTGGGTAGTTGAAATACTCCATAAAAGCAAAAAGTCTTAATGGATTAATAACTACTAGCATTAACTAGCATAAAGCAAATAAGAATAATAAAAAGTACACGTTTTAGCTCATACCCCCAAAGGATCATTTTTAATATAAATAAAAAGCTATGTACTCATAGGCATAAAAGAAAAATCCAACAGAAAAATGAACAAAGAAGATGAAGTTACTTAGGACGTATGTAGTTCAGCAGTTTATCTAGCACGTACAAGATCCTGATTTCAATCCTCACCACCAAAAAAGTTTACAAAGCTGGGCACAATGACACACAACTGTAATCCCAGCAACTCAGGAGGCTAAGGGAGGCAGAAGGATTGAAAGTTCAAGGATAGAGTGAACAATTTAGCAAGACTCTATCTCAAAACAAAAATATAAAAAGGGCTGGGAATTTATCTCAGTAGTAGAGTCCCCCCCCCTAAATTTAATCCCTAGTACCAGCCAAAAATAAAATGATAATAATAAAAAGAATAAGTTGTAGGGGCTGAGGTTGTGGCTCAGCGGTAGAGTGCTTGCCTCGTATATGTGAGGGCCTCGTATATGTGAGGCACTGGGTTCGATCCTCAGCACTACATAAAAATAAATGAACAAAATACAGGTATAAAAAAAGAATAAATTGTATATAAATTATATTAACATGCACAAAGGTAGCCAGGCATTGTGACTCATGCATGTAATTCCTGTAGTCCAGCGACCTGGGAGGTTGAGACAGGAGAACCGAAAGTTCCAGGCCAGCATAAGCAATTTATAGCATGAACGTGTTTCAAAAAACAAAACAAAAAAAAGTACAAAGGTAACCAATCTTCTGTAAAGAGTAATCAAATTTGAAGAAGAGATAACTTTTATGTATATTTTACAATAAGAAAAAAAATTCAAGAGAGCATTTTTCACCCATCAGATTGGCAAAATTCAAAAAATTTATTATTGTACTGTTTTGGAGGGAAATAGAAAGAAACAATATGGTGGTGCAATACTGTGGTAGTGTAAACTGGTCTACATGCTAAGGAAAATGATTTGATAATATCTCCCCAAACTATAAAGGTACAGACACTTTGCTACAATAATTCCACTCCTAGGAACTCATACTACAAATACTTCCAAATGTACAGAAAATGATATATTTACAACGTTATCTTCTGCAGCAGTTTCTAGTAGCAAAATTTAAATAACCATAAACAATGAAGCAGCATTTGTGTTAATATAGATTAACTTCTAAGTATTAAATTTTTAAAAAAGATCAAAATAATAAATGTGGATATAGTACTCCCGCCTTATCCACAGAGGACATGTTTCAAGACCCCCAGTGATGCCTGAAACCACAGATAGTACTAGATCTGATATTTTCCCTATACATATCTATGATAAAGTTTAATTTAGAAATTAGGGACAGTAATAGAATAACAATAAAATAAACCAATTTTAACAATATACTATAATAAAAGTTACATGGTCTCTCACTCAAAATCATATTGCACTATTACATTTTCACTTAAAGGAAATACTTTATAGCTTCTGTTTATCATATCCAAATTGCCAGCATCACTACTCTTGCTCTTCAGTGATCACTGAGTAAAATAAGGATAACCTGAATACAAGCACTGATAGTCAATCTGATAACCCATAAGGCTACTAAATGACAGGCAGGTAGTACATATGGTGTGTGAATATGCTGTATAAAGGGATGATTCAGGTCCTGGGCAAGACTGCTTGAGATTTCCTCATGCTACTCAGAATGGCATGTAATTTAAAATTTATGAATTGTTCATTTCTGGAATTTCTCATTTAATATTTTCAGACCAGGGCTTGGATTATGGCTCAGCGATAGAGCGCTCGCCTAGCATATGTGGGGCCCTGGGTTCGATCCTCAACACCACATAAAAAATAAATAAAATGAAGATATTGTGTCCAGTTACAACTAAAAAATAAATATTAAAAAAAAAATATTTTCAGACCAGTTGATTACAGGTAAATGAAACTGGATAAGAAAGGACTAATGTGCTATTATTTATGTAATAATTGTAAATATATATATATATATTTATACATGTGTGTATACACACACACACATGTATACACACACATATGCACATATATAATAAGTCCTCATCAGCTGTTTTACAAGTTGTCCTGAAGGGAAACATTAGTAATGGAAGAGCAACAGATTTCATGAAGTCTTTTGATACTGTCTGCAACTACAATCCATACATACTGTTTTCCTAAAACAATAAATACCAATTTGAATTGTGGGAGAGGGCCAATTTATCTTCTCAGGGAGGAAAAGTCCCTCCCTTTTTTCTCATTACTAAAGAAAGCAGAAAACAAAATGGAAATACTATTGGACTTTTTTTTCTAAATACTTGTTTTTTTCTAATATCTATCTATTCAGATAATACTCAAGAAGGCCTGTAGTGAAAACTATCAACATGTAAATAAAGCTTTTATATTCATGAAAAGGTATCATGTTCATGACAGATTAGAAGGCAGAAGATTAGACAAGAGTAAAATTTACTTGGAATACAATGTCAATGTATTATTAACATGACCTCAAAAGAAATCCTGTGGTCAAGTTCCATAACCTTTACAAATTTCTGATGGTAATTTTCACTGTGCAAAAACTTGTTTTTCCACAATATAGGTTCCTTACTTTTCACTTAGAACAACAGACAATTCTAAATGAACTAGATCTGTAGATCTTCTAAGACCAGACAAATAAACTAGAAACAAAGAACTACTTCTCTTCATATTTGGTTCCCCTCCATCATCTCTACAGTATTGCTGCATCATAAGAAAAGGCCACTATTAGCTTAGGTTGGATACTACTTTTAATCCTTCATAAATATTTCTGATGTAATTTACCCAGGCAATAAAAAATTATTCTTCTTGGGAAACTTACATTAGAAAATAAAATTAACACCTGCATTAAAAAAAGAGTTATGGGGGCTGGGGCTAGGGCTCGGTGGTAGAGCACTTGTCCAGTATATGCACAAGTCCCCAGCACCCCCTCCACACACACACACAAGTTGTGATTAACACTTAGAAGTAGTAGAACTTTTAATACCTTACATATGGAAACTGTCAAATCATGGAAATAAAAATATAAGATTATGGGATAACCAGGTAAGTACTATTATCTCCTTCTAATTAAAATGTAGATAATTTAAGATTGGAGATATCTAATATAACCAATTTAAATGACTGTTTTTCCATATTAAGGTTTATATTATTATTTTAATTCCATTATCATTTTATCTTTTAAAAAATGTCTAAGGAACGTTTTGAAGTACAGTTAGTTCTTTCAGAGAATTACCATTTTAATGATGTGAAGGTATTATTCCCGCAAACACTTAAGGTGAGTATCCATGCAATCTCTACACAAGCAAATATAAATAGGTCTCCTCGTTTCCACTATGACTTTACTCTTTTGCACATCATTGCTTCCCCCAAGTGCAACTCACCTCAATGTCACAGGAATTTAGTAGGAATAACGGTGATGATCAAAAGCATCGGTCTAGAGGTGGTAGTTCCTAAGAGACTTACAGAATCACCATCCTGCATTTTGAAAATAACATCCTGAAAGAGAAACCAATCTAACTAGCAGCAGCTCACAGCCCAGACTGAAAGGGAGCACTGAGACCCCCACACACACACAAAAAAAAAAATCACACCAGCCTTTAGTTGACACCTCAGGGTTGACCCTGTCCCTCCTCGCACAACCCGGTTGGGACCGACCCACACTACCCAAAGGAAATAAACACACTGTTTTCTGACCCCCTTGGAAACGGCGGGTGGCAGCAGGGGGAGTGCCTCCGTTACCGCCCGTCCAACTTCACAGAGGTCGTTGCTAGTGGCCAAGAAGGGGTGGGGGGCAGGCAGCACTTGGGACTGTGAGGCTCCCTGACTGCCACGTCCTCCTGCCTTGCTACAGTGGCTCTAGATTCGGGATAAGAGGACAACAGCTTGGGACTACATGGTAAAAGTAACGCACCCTGGCGCCCGCACCCTGGAGCGAGTGCAGAAGAAGGGGGAGCGGCCGGCGCGTCACCGGCGCTGGCGTGTGACGTCAGCGCGCGGGAGCCGGCGCGACGCGGAGGTGGCTGGGAGCAGCGGACGCGCGCGGGGCGGGGCCGCTCGAGGCGGGGCTAGGTGGGGCGGGGCCTCGTGGGGGCGGCCGAGTGGGGCGGGGCCCGAGTGGGGCGGGGAGCGGGGCGGAACGGGCAAACCCGCTAGTGTGGAGGGAGCGTGGAGGGCGTGGCTGATGGTGAAAAGGAAGGTCAGGGCCGAAACGATGGGGAGAGTTCTCTAATATAAGCTAATTTGGACTAAAGCATTTTATTAATTTTTCCCGCATATAGTACACATACAGGTTTTTGTTGATGCTGTTGTTTTTAAATCTTAAGGGCTTCCGACATATGGCTGTCGCTTTTTTTTTTTTTTGGTACCAGGGATTGATATTTTATATTAATATTTTAATATCAATATTGATATATTTTTATATCAATATTTTATATCAATATTGATATTTATATATTTTTTTTGAGACAGGGTCAAGCTTAGTTGCTGAAGCTGGCTTTGAAATTGAGATCCCCCTGCCTCAGCATCCGCAGCCGCTGAGATTACAGGCATGTGCCACTGCGCCAGGCAGAGAGGACACATTTTATAAGTAATTTGTTTAAAATAAAAAAAAAAGAGGAAGTTTTTTTCCCAAATATATTTTGGCAGATTAGAGCAAGGAAGTATTTTGAATCCTTGAAATTAAAAAAAAAAAAAAAAGTTTAAAGGTATAATTGGTTTTCTATGCCTTTACATCATTATGTATGTTGAAGGGTTTGGCAGTGTGTTGTATTAAGTACATGTCTTTATTGCAGGACTTGAGAAAATACTTGAGAACAGATTCCTTTTAAATCAAATCTATTTTCCTGAGTAATCGAACTCAGTGATCTAGCAGCCCCTTACGCTGCCTCATCTAGAGTAAACTGGAGATACTGGAAAATTGATAGTGGCTTGTTATGCTATCTCAGTTGCCCCAAGCACTGTATATGGCCAGAGTGGAGAGACAGCAGACTGCCAGAGACCTTGGTGGAATGTTTCAGATCTTTGTTTCAAAGAAATTCACCTCTTTCTTTCCCATCCCCTTACCCACACCATAGACCCCAGACAACTCTGGGTTCTCATGGCAGTCTTTAAATGGTGGTGCTCATAAGAAATACTTTATTCCTAGCATGCAAATTGAGAGCTTTGGGCTTCTTTGCCAGAAGATGGCACTAATAGTCATCCAAACTGGCACACTGGAAAAATTATGCTTTGGTTTCTCTCTCCAACCTCCAGTGCAGCTATCAAAGACTTATTTTCCTTAATCTTTACTTTTCTGGGCTAATTTTTGAGCCCTCCCACTCCTAGTTAGTCGTTTGAAATTTTGGTGTCTGAATGCACAATAACTTTAGTTCTACCCACATCCCTCTGTGCAGTAAAATGACTTGAAAACATTGCCAATTGCTAATCTAAGCAGATTCTTTTTTGCTGCTTACAGAAGGAGTGGGTTGTCAGATAGTTTCTTAGATAATTCTTTAGGCTCCTGTTATAACTGTAGATGAGAATATAAATTGCTAAAATCATTCTAGAATGCATGCTAGTAATACAGTTATCCTTAAACTCAGCAATTTCACTTTTAGAACCAAAATGCCAGGAAATTTTATAACCAGGAAAAATTAGAAATGTAATGTCTAATAAAGAATCGATTGAATAAGTTATATTATATTCAAACAATGGAGTAGTCTAAAGACATTACAAAGGATAAGAAGGATCTATTTTTATTAATATAGAAATATATCCTTGAGGGGCTGGGATTGTGGCTCGGTGGTAGAGCGCTCGCCTAGCACGGGCAGGACCCGGGTTCGATCCTCAGCACCACATAAAAATAAAATGCATTGTGTTGTGTCCATCTACATCAAAAAATAAATATTAAAAAAAAGAAATATATCCTTGATATTTTATTGAGTAAATAAATCAGATTGCTTTACCAGAGTTATAAAGATGATTACCTGATAATTTCCCCTTCTGATTTACAAACCTTTATGTAGTTTAATGTTTTTTTACTTTTTTGAGGGGATACTGGGGATTGAACTCAGGGCCACTGGACCACTGAGCCACACCCACAGCCCTATTTTGTATTTTGTTTAGAGACAGGGTCTCACTGAGTTGCTTAGCACTTCACTTTTTTTATGTTGAGGCTAGCATTGAACTCGTGCTCCCCCTGCCTCAGTCTCCTAAGCTGATGGGAAATGGTTTTTACTTTTTACAACAAAAATGGTTTGAGGTTTTTTTTCCTTTTCTTTAAATATTTTATTGGATTTTTCTTCCAGACAAAAGCAGCTTTTGCTCCTAGCAACAACCCAACTGCAAAAGTATACAAAAAAATAAAACTTGCAGTCTCTGTAATGCCAGATTCGTGGGACCCCAAAAGACCTCCAGGAGCTGAATCTGATGCAATCACACAAGAGTCTTTATTGCAAGCTTGAGCCTGGACTCAAACTCTTTCCAACGTAGCGGTCCCAGGGAGTGAGTCCTTTGTCCAGTGAGATTTTATAGGTTTTATGAGGATACTCTATGCATCACAACATCACACAGCAAATTATTCCATACAGCAGGAAAATCAAATAACTCCTCTTAACATTGATTAGCACGTTCACTGATGGGAACAAGTTGGGTAGGGGTGACTGGTTAGTACAAGAGGGGGATTCCCTTGAACTGATTGGTTTAAGCCACGAGGGGGTGTACGTGCTAAACTACATGGTTTCCCAACAAGTTATTAACCACCATAAACTACTGAGGATCATCTGGCATCCCAAGTATTTTCCCTGTCTCATGGTGATTGGTGGTTGCTAGGGGGTTGCTATGGGTCTTCACCTAGCCTAACTGAGTCAGGGACACCTGGCACCGAAGATCTCTCCTGTTATTTGCAGACAAACAACTCAGCAGGGTGGGTATGTGCCTAGAAAGGCTCTGTGGGTTTTTCCAAGGACAAGGGTCAAGCTCCCTTCCTTAGGACAGGCCTTGAAGTAGAAGCTGCTGTTATTTATTTATTTTCAAAAATGACGTCACATCAGTTTCTCATCTCCATACACAGAGTTCACCTCTGTGCACACTGCTCCATGAATTCAATATTAACAGTTTTATAAATATCATTTACATTTTCTCTAAGTTCATAAGAACATAAAGAAGCATGTATTTATGTGTTTTAGTCTTAATCCTTTAAAATGCATTTATACATATTATTTTGCAACTTACATTTTTAACGGTGTACCATGAACATCTCAAGAGATCACCCAATTCTTGTCAATGATATTAATATCCCACGATATGGATGTACCAAAATCTATTCAACTATACTCCACTCAGTAAAAGAGACTATTTTCAATGGTATTGTTATTTCTAAGGTAAAGATTCCTAAGAGTAGTTTAACTGTGTCAAAAAGTATGCATTTTTCCATTTCAATAAATACTCTTGTGTATTGGATATATATACTCTTGTGTAAGAAACCACTCTAAAACATAGTGGCCTAAAACAATAATTGACTATTTCTCACAATTTTGTGAGCAGGAAATCAGGGAGAGTTCTGCTGGGCAATTCTTTTGTTCTGCTGGGCAATTCTTTTGTTCCACCTGGTTTTAACTGACTTATCTCTATTCTGCCAGCAACTGTGCTGGACAGGGTGGTTCAAGAAGCTTCACTCATTTGTTCCTCCGCAAACCTTCCAAAAGTCTAGCTAGCTTCAAATTAGGAGAACATAGAGTTGCCCATCTTTTTGAAAGCTAGGCAAGGAACAAGGGTGGCATTACTTTTGACACATTCTTGGTAAAAATAAGACTCACAGGCAAAATTTAAAAGGTAAAAAAAAAAAAAATCAATGGCAGCCACATTTGGAAATGATCTACCATGTGGGAGACCAACCTTACATGTGACTGAGTCATACTCCCCGGCTAGGTGCTGAGGCGCTCAGTCACAGAAATATGGCAGAGCTTTCCCCACCCTTCTTGGATTCGAGGGTCATTGTCTCATGCATGGGTGTGTCTTGCTACAGCCCCATGGGTGGAGCTATGCTCACCTGTTCCTTTGTAATATAACCCCTTGCCCTGTTTAGGATAGGATCTTCCATGAAAGTGCCTTCTGAGTGTCCCCTTCTCTTACTGTGCCCTTGGGTATGGCCTACCCAGGTGTCAGTCCACCTGCTAACGGTGGACATCATGAAGATAGACTCAGCCCCCTGAAACTTGACCCCTTGCCTATTTGAATAGCTTCTCCTCAATAAAAGGGCTCAGCACTTGCTCTCGCTCTCTCTCTTTCTGCACACCCTTAAGGTCAGAGGAGCCATCACAGCGACCCCAAACAAAAAGAGACACAATCTTGTGTGGTTATTTTGTGCAGCCCAATTAGCCCAATTTAATTGGAGTGACCCCTGAGCCTTTTAGTCGAGAGAAAAGAAACCCAGCACTACCACATTCTGGGTTGTTAGTCACAAGTTTCATAAACTTGCACACAC